CAACTCCAAACAATCAAAATGAGAGAAAATTCTGAAAAAAAGGCTAGAATTTTTCATAAAATATCCTAGATTTTCAAAATATATTAAACTGCTTAATGTTATTATTAGATGTGAGAGTCTTTTCACAAAAGAGGCTATACGCGTTACGCGATCACTTCCTTCCCAGCTAATATGCCTATGTCATTCTTCCGGCTGATACGGTCGTAAGCTGACTCAAGGTTACGGCTCCTGATGGAGGCCACATTATCTTCAGGACACATAAAGGGACTACACCAACTCCTAAGTACCTTCTCCCGGACCATTCTCTGGACACACAGTTCTAGTTTACAGAAAATGACACACAACCTGAAGGACACACAGTCCCACATGTACAGCTTACATCTGTATGGACATACAACCCTAAACAAAACGCAGAGCACACATCTCCTAGTCTCATGAACACACAGTCCCGGATAAAACACAGCTGTGTATAATATGTGTCTGAATATTGTGCGCCAATTTTTTTCTTTTAAAGAAAAGCTTTTTCTTCGATGTTGTTTTCCAACACTGAATTGAAGAAAAGATAATGTAAATATATATATATTATAAACTGAAGGAGTCACTTAAAGAATTACGTCCATCCCGAAGTCGTTTAACAAGTCATCTTATCGGCATTCCCCGATTTACAAAAGTATCAAGAGATATCAATTTGCCTTCAAACAAATTACAGCTTATGTAAACAAATTCTCGTATGAACTGAAACAGTCCGCAGCTATTTACAGCTCCAAGTAAATGTACTGGTTATTATGAGAAGGGTGATTCGTCACTGCTTCCTGCTCTTCTTTGAAGTGGAGTCATTATTCTGAAATTTACCAGGAATTCTTTCATTTTGAAATGAATTGGTCGTGAACAGTCGTAACAAAAAAGTTTATGGTATGTTTACATTTCTACAAAATCTACAAAAAATGACAACATTAAATTAATTTGTATATCCTGACTAATATTTGAACGAAAAAAATCTAAACAACTTTTGGAAGAAAATACTCACTATTATTTTATATAATCAATTATTTCGCGTATGAAAGAACAGTAAACAAATGATATTGCTAAATGAATGTCACTTAAGAGTAATTTTGACACAATTATGACTCATGAGAACAGGACACATCTAAATCTGTGAAACATTGAAACATTCCTACTGACAATGACGTAATCGTGCCACGTGAGAACAGGACACGCCTAAATCTGTGTTGATGAAACATTCCCACTGACAATGACGTTATCATGACTGGCGAGAACAAAACACGCCTAAATCTGTGTTAATGAAACATTCCCACTGACAATGACGTAATCATGGCTGGCGAGAACAAAACACGCCTAAATCTGTGTTAATGAAACATTCCCACTGACAATGACGTAATCATGGCTGGCGAGAACAAAACACGCCTAAATCTGTGTTAATGAAACATTCCCACTGACAATGACGTAATCATGGCTGGCGAGAACAAAACACGCCTAAATCTGTGTTAATGAAACATTCCCACTGACAATGACGTAATCATGACTGGCGAGAACAGGACACGCCTAAATCTGTGTTGATGAAACATTCCCACTGACAATGACGTAATCATGACTGGCGAGAACAGGACACGCCTAAATCTGTGTTGATGAAACATTCCCACTGACAATGACGTAATCATGACTCGTTAGAACAAAACACGCTTAAATCTGTGTTAATGAAACATTCCCACTGACAATGACGTAATCATGACTCGTTAGAACAGAACACGCCTAAATCTGTGTTGATGAAACATTCCCACTGACAATGACGTAATCATGACTGTCGAGAACAGGACACGCCTAAATCTGTGTTGATGAAACATTCCTACTGACAATGACGTAATCATGACTGTCGAGAACAGGACACGCCTAAATCTGTGTTGATGAAACATTCCTACTGACAATGACGTAATCATGACTGGCGAGAACAGGACACGCCTAAATCTGTGTTGATGAAACATTCCCACTGACAATGATGTAATCATGACTGGCGAGAACAGGACACGCCTAAATCTGTGTTGATGAAACATTCCTACTGACAATGACGTAATCATGACTGGCGAGAACAGGACACGCCTAAATCTGTGTTGATGAAACATTCCCACTGACAATGACGTAATCATGACTGGCGAGAACAAAACACGCCTAAATCTGTGTTGATGAAACATTCCTACTGACAATGACGTAATCATGACTGTCGAGAACAGGACACGCCTAAATCTGTGTTGATGAAACATTCCCACTGACAATGACGTAATCATGACTGGCGAGAACAGGACACGCCTAAATCCGTTAACGAAACATTCCGACTGACAATGGCGTAAGGCATCAAGAATGGTAATAAGAATCATGTTGGTTAACTAAGACGAATACATACAATGTATGTGCAATACTAATACAAAATATATATCAATATGATCTCATAAATATATGTATATTCTAAAAATCACCATTTTATGGCGACACATTACATATCTTAATAGCCCTTGGTTGATGTTGACCGAAGGGAATAATTTTTTGGACAACCAACGGACTCGATGTTTAGATTTTTGATACTCAATAATTTTGTATATTTTTGTCTTGATGAAGGGACAGATCACATCGAATCTTGTGCAAGGTTAGAGTCTAGTGTCTAGTGCATATTCAGGAGGATGTAATGAAAAGTGATTCTTTGACTATGGCACTCATAAAAGACGTCAAGATGTAAGTATCTGAAGGTGCTTCAACAAAGAAGAACGATATTCCAAGGACATTTTTTGTACCCTTCCGTCTCCTTATAAACTAGTTTTTGTTCTATGAGTACAAAGCACAGTACTGATCTCACATTAATTTTCATATCATCAAGACGTTGTGACTATCGGAAGAGAAATTTTACAAATGCCTTTCATACCAATATGACGAAGGATTCAAAGACGGTCTCACATGGACCATTGCCGTTGATGTTGAAATTCAGGTACTGAAATTCACTGACATATAGACATTCATTACTGGTTAAGTTAATCAAGTGGATCATGTACTTCACAGGAACACACCTGTGCACATAAATCCATCTTCCATCAATGGTTTTAATTTGCTGCATTAAATATTTGTTTTGTATGATGGAGTGTCTGTTGGCAAATTTACATTCCTTGCCCCCAACAAGTTGCGTTCTACCGATCGCTTAATTGCTTTGAGTTTTTTGTCCCCGTAGCAGCCAAGAATCATGAAGGTTTCTAAATGTTTTGGGGAAACTAAAGGAGGCATTGGCTGTACAGTTACACTGCAGTGTTAAAACGTCACTTTGACATGTTACAGAATGGCATGGGAGGGGGAGGGGGATTTTTGGTATGTTATAACTATAACAACAATTGTGAAACAAGTTATGTCAACTTATACTAATCACTCTTGTTGACCCGGATGTAAGCGCGCGAGGGGTCCTATTGTGGGAGGAAACCGGAATACCCAGGGAAAACCCACGTGGTCGGGCAAGTGACCCTTCCCTTTTCAATTCCGTTCCAGGAGTCGAACCCCGGACGGCCAGGTGAAAGGAGAGTGCGTTACCACTGCGCCACCCGACAAGGTATGTTACGGTCCGGAGGCAACACCCATAGCAATCCTTACTTGTGAGCATGTGAAGCACAATAGCGGAAACATATCAGAAGCATAACGTGATATGCAAACCGCATTTACACTAATACAACATTTTTTAAAAAGTTATTTTGTTACAGAGCGTGAAAATTATATAATAAAACACACTTATAACTTATGAAAAATTTCTAAATTTAATTGAAATTGAATTTTGAAACTGCCTTTATCTCGTAGCTAAGGTTTAAAATCTCACGAATTTTCAATGAACTACATAATTGCATATATTATGGACAGCACCTGAACTTATAAAGTAAATATATTTTAACTTGAATTTTTTAGAAATTAACATAATGGGATGTTTAATTATGTCCCTATCAGTTGTAGTTAATACCATTTAAAATGTGATTGTTGCATTGATATTACAATTAATATATGATACTTTAAAGTTTTGTAGACATGAAATAGTCGGTGATATTATGTTGAGAGTACCGAAGATAAAGTGACATTATCAGGACGCGGTTAAACGTTTACTCATCAGACAATGTTAATTAGATGGATCTACGTTGATGACGAGGAGAATGGATTTGTTTGCGTTTCCTTAATACAAACCATTTTTTAAAAAAAATATTACAACACCTATTAGCAAAGCTATACCTCACCTTTATATGTCGATGACAGAACCATAGGGGCGTAACAGTGTATCAAAGAGGATCTGGAAGGGATGCCAGACAGGAAAAAATGTAATCTAACAACTGTTTAAGGTTAAGGCATAAACAAAAGCATCACAGCACGGAAGAAATATTTAAACCTAAGGGTAAAGCTTTAAATTGCATCTTCATCAATGAAACTGATTCTGGAATGAGTGTCGCATATGGTAGCAATTGTTTATTAATACAACCAAGATGATACGGACATTTCAACAGAATTTTGATTTAAAGTAAAAACAAATCTATGGCAAAATACGAACTAAAAACAGATTTACATCTGAAAAAAAACAGGAGAAAAAACTTAAATCACGTGATCTGTAACGGAAAACATCGACTGCTTCATCACTTGGCAAAATGATTATCAAGCATATAAACAAATCCAGAAGGTATATTAACGAGCATCAAATATGTCAAACTTCATATCACATTCTATCTAACAACTATAAAAGATTACGGAACGAAAATATTGATCGCAACATTTTGTTTAGAATATACTAATTGTATTTTTTTTTTTTTTATTTTGTTTTTCAAGATTTTACAAAGGTATGCAACACACGATATTTACTATATCTAATATATTCTGATTTTATTGCATGATAACAAAAGGGCAACAAAATTCAACACTGATTAAATTGAGATTGAAATGGATTAATTAACAACAAAAAATCTCTTTCACAAGTGTTTACATTTAATTGTCAGTAGACACCATCACAGTATAATATAAATGTTTTGCTAACCTTTAAAGTGCCGGATTTATGTAGTATAAGGATATTTGGTTATCTTCTATACCTTCTTTGCACCGACTCGACTTTTACAACAGTCGTAGAATAATTGGTACAACCGTTTCACGTGTTTTCTAAACTTTGTATCAAAGAACCCGTAGAACAAGGAATTCGCTACACTGTTGATCATATAGAGTCTGAAGCTTATAAGATAAAGTACTAGTTCTGTAGTGTTCAAACCGTCCGAATAGGACGAGTCGGAGAAAAAGGCAATCATAATGATAATATAAGGTAGAAAGCTGCAGATAAACAGCATTGTTATCGCAAATAGTACTTTTGTTATTCTTTGCTCTTTATCACTGATTGTTGTCTCTTTGGGCCTCAGGGGATTCTGCGATGAACGATTTGTTTGTGCAGAGTTAGAACTTTCATTTGATGACTTACGGTCGGAAATTCTTCTTCCTGAAATGTTGTCTAGAGATGACTGAGGTACAGCTAGATTACTTCCGGGCTTACTTGATCCGTTTTTGACCTCTGTGGTCACATGACGCATATTGGCTTCCGTTAGAAGGAATTCTTTACTCCCGACTGAGGAGTTAGCGTTCTCAACATTCCTATCGTTCGTTGAAATACGGTTCTGTTGTTCTGTATCAGATACACATGTCAAAGATTGACTGGGGTTAGCTTCGCTTTTGTTTTTACTTCGCAAAGTGACTCTCATGAAATCGTTGTGTTTTTTCAAGTTCACACCTATAATACTATAAAGCACTCCAAGAGCTATCATGGGCCCAACAACAGACATAAGCACCCACGTATAGTAGATGTAACCGAAAACTGAGCCCTCCATATGATCCCCCCAAGTGCATTCGAACCCAGTGACATTGTATACAGATACATTATATCCGGGAACTGGAAGGTCAGGAAGTGTTTTTCTCCCGTACACATATAGGGCGGGAAACGTGAACACCAACGCGGCCACAACCACACCAAGAGACGAATAGATAGCTGTTGTTTCAGACATCTGTGTATCGTAGGGACGGCAGATCCTTCGATACCTCTCAGACGCTATTAGAACTAATGTGAACGCTGATGCAACTGCAATCGCAGTATTGATAAATCTGAATATTTTACATGAAATAATTTCAGAATATGAAAAGGGGAATATTTCATCTATCATTTCAAATGGCATCGAGACCAAACAGCACAGCAAGTCTATGATTGAAAGCAACAAGACAAACACTCGGTATGTTGAAGGTTTGAAAAACGTACAGTATATGTAAAGTACGTGTAGGTTCCCGATGATCCCTGCAAACGCCAAAACACCTATAAATAGAACAACCGGAAGTCGACGTAGGGCTTCATACATGTTCAGTTCATAAAGGTCCATTTTGGGATGAGCTGTGTCAGTTGTCAGATTAACCGATGCCATTTTTTTGTAGAAGTTTTCCACTTTATCTCACAAATGTATGCTTCCTGACACTTTGCTATCCAAATGAATAGTTGAACAGCGTTAATGTTGTACAGATCCGCAGCACTAGTGGAAATGAATAGAAATGAATTAAAGACCCTCACCTGCTTGCTTTGTCAATAGGTCTAATGAGTTCCAATTACGTCTCTTGAAAATTAGAAAGTTGCCGATGAGATGTGATGTGTTCACAGAAACAACAAGTCGTTTTGTCAATTCTCTTCCAATACCAAGAGGAACTGTTTAAAACTATGAATTAATTGACCCTAAAGAGTTACTTTCATGGAGCGACAAGCTCTAGATATATTCACACTGTTCATTCTAGTTTATGTGAAAAATGTCTTTCTGGGAGAATAATTCCCTCGTGAATGTCATATTTTTCGTCATTGGGATTTCCTGTTTTGTGTATCAATCCGATAAGTACACCTCCTCCCTACACGTGCATGAAGAACACGTTCACTCAATAGGTATGTGGTTTTCTTAATCCATAAACCGTGTGATTCTCAAAACCACTGTATACATGTGTATGTCACGGCTAGTCAGAACGTGCTGGTATTATTACAGTATATTATCTACATATCTGGTACTCAGTTTCTTTTCACTCGTATATCCGCCTTTGTCTAATGTAATAACTGGCCTTGTCTGGGATGAATATTGATTAAGGATAACACAACAGCTGATTAGGAACGTCTGTGTTCAACAGATATACCATGTAGACACGCCTTCTTTGTCTCGCGTAAGACCATGCATAGGACAAGGAGTTTGTGTAAGTTACAGTGTGCTGATAATACATAGGCGTGGAAAGCGCTCTGAGCTATGGTAGTCTACACGAGTCAAAACACAGGATAGTCGTATTGCAGGAGTCACGTGGGAAACGATAGTCAATCATCATTGCCAATTAATTTTAAAATATAATAATCTATGATGACAATGATATGACCTGAAGGTTGTCTATGGTAACACATTCATGACAAACTAAAATGGTGTGAAATCGTATTACTTGATGATTGCCTATGGAACATTTCTGCGCAGCTATGATGGTGTAACAGTAATATTACATTATGGTTGTATATAGCAACGCATTGGTGCCAAACTAAAACGGCATCGCATTGTCGTTACGTTTTGGTTTTCTATGGAATTAAGTTGATACCAAACTAAAATGGCTTACAAAGTAAAGACTTGATGTTTGTGCTGAAAACATTTATAGGGAGCTCGAATACTTTCGAAGTACCATTGCATATTGATTGGCTGTGGTAACAAATTGGTGCTGACATTAAAATGGCGTTGCATTTTATTGCATGGTGGTTGTCTATGGTAAAACATGATGCGTAATAGTTGTCTTTAGTATTGCCTCAATATATATTGTCATTTGTTTCTACCTTATCTTGTTGTTTGAAGGTAGATTCATATCTAAAAGGGCGTTATTGTTAAACTGTTGTAAACTATAAAAGTAGAATTGTTTTATTGTAGTATTCTTGACCATTGAATGCTTCTACAAATATCGCGATTTTGAATAATGCATTACATTCAAATATTGATTATTTCCAACGAAAAAACTTGAGACAGGTCTTTGTAACCCGATAAAATATGAAAAGTATGATTTTATAAATGTCATAAAGGGACAACTGACTGTTTAGTTTAAATTGCTGTCCCATTTATATTTGTCTTCTTTCCAAAACAAACTCTTTGTGTTCCAAATGACTCCTTTGTAATTCCCTCCTCACCTTTGACCTCAGTTTCGAGCATTGGACCATATGAGTACGGCTATATGTCTCTTCTTAGTGATATGTCATAAAATGATTCTTTGTGTTCACTGATTTTCGTTTGATAGTGAATGTGATGTACACGACCCGGACATTCAGATTGCAGTATAATGTGACTGTGTGTGTGATGAAACTGCTTCTTGGTTATGACATTTCAGTGGGATAGAACTACACACCTACCCCTCGATTGTTCCGTCAGCTGTAAATAGTGTTTAAGAGGAGTAGCGACTGTGTTATTCATTAAGCCATAAACCAACACAACAGATAGAAGCTTAAACCTAGAAACAAAATACAAAAACGAATGATGTTACCATCGGGCTTCCGTATAATATGATGATTCCCATGGAAATCGGAAATGACATGGCAACTAGAAACTTTCACGTCCGCCCCGTTATTAATATGTAAATTAATTGCGTTGCATCGCTGAACAGGTGCGTTCGCTTTGTCACGGGCTAGGCTGTTATTGTTGTGTGTATACTGAGGAGCACGGATTGGAAGGTTTTACGTTAAGGCTGTAAAAGTGTGATTGACATTTACAAGAACATGTGATACAATTAAATCCGGTTTTTGTTTAGAACATAACCTCATGTAAACATCTAGATTATTCTATTTCTACTGCTAACAGAAACAAGCGGCGTGATCAAGTATATAAGATAGCTAACCGACATAAATATGGTTAGGAATATAAACACCAAGAATAATTTCGCTTTATTCATGGATAGTAAGGACACCGCGAATAACTTATCACCAAACATTTCTACTGGGAATGAACCCGTGAATTAGCCCAAACTAGGATAACAGTAGTAGGACCATGGATTAAGGCAAATTTCGTCTCATTGACCAATCACTTATTTAATCAGTGTGTATTCCTTCGTGTACTGATTATGTCAGGTTTTATAACAACTACTTACACTGAGGTATCAAACTGGCTGTATATATAATTTTAATTTGATAACTGTGTTTAATTATGTGCAGCAATGTGTAGAATGTTCCAGTGGTTCTCTCTTGCTGTTCTGGCCACACTGATACTACGACCACCCTGGTCGAGTCTCCCACATTATTTTAATAGTGCCTCCGCTACTGCAGTCTTCCCTGACTTTGTTAAGATGACGTCATACAGTTTGAAGTTGCATATACATTGGGGAGTTATTGTTGGTGTAAACATGCCCTCAGCGAACGAGGATCATTCGTGGAACAGCGGACGACTGGTAATGCATCCGGTGTTGAATCCATTAAACAAACACAGTCTTCAAAGGCCTACAAATATAATTCATCTGGAACCCATTTGTAAGATACACGTGCTAGCTCCATCCTTAGGTGATGCGGATTCAGTTCTATTGCACTAGAAGTACAGTTAATACTCGACGTTAAAGGTTATCTGGACGCATTCGTCACAATCGGTGTATGATGGTCGTCATTCTTTCTATTACCTGCACCCGCAAGAAAATAAAAATCGAAATGGCTTCTTCATTTATGCCTAAAAAATTCTATCATTGTGACATTTATATAATAAAACTAACAGTATATTTTATACAAATAAAACCGACGCTGAATCTGCATATTAGAACGCATTAGCTCTGTCACAAATCTCGTTCTGTAAGGCATTCTTTGGGTCAATATTAGAAGTTTTTTCATTAAGTTGTGGAATAGCTGTGGCAATATCGTCAGGTGTAATATAATCATTGGCAAATTTACAAGGTAATAATGCTTTTGATTGCTCTTACGAACTGTCTCTTTTTAGTATTCTTTTGTGGTATGATCCATCGAATATTGGAATCATGAAGCTTAAAAAATATTCTTAATGGTAAATTTAAAAGAAATACAAATCTGGCTAATTGGCTGTAAAGTAAAAAGTTGATAATTAAGGACAACTGAAAGTAAGTAAAATAAATTACGCACAACATCAAATGAACAGATAACAAAAAAGCCGACCCGGTGTTTACTAAATACTTGCATGTCTTCCTATTAATGTCAGATTTGAAATCTCCTATAGACTAAAACTGATATTTTTGATTATAGGTTTTGTTTGTGGTTGGTGAATGCTAACGATGTCAATTGAAAGCGTCCCCGTCAGAGTGGACAATGCTCCATTACAATAAATATCAAAATCTTATCACAGCATTACGATACTAAACTTGGTCTAAGGGCAGCCATCAAGGCCGTTAGAATTAAAGCGGTGGGACAATTATTTTGACTATAGTATTTTATTATTATTACTGCTGCATCTATATATCAAACTTATAACCTCATGAACAATGAAGGATGCTTGTTAATAAAATGTGAAAAAAGTGGTCACGCTGGACAATGTGATAGCATATAAACGTAAATGGAAGTGTTTGTACCGTGATGTCTCTTTAAACTGTAGATATATCATTGAAATATATTCTGGATCATGTGACTAATATCGATTCGTGTAAAACAGTACTTAAAATAGTTATATTTTACAAGGCATTACTAAAGCAAGTGATTTTCATTCAGAAAATATTTGGCGTGCTCGAAAGAAATATTTGTGAGAAATACAAAAAAAAAATCGTAAAATAGTAACAATGATTGAGTACTGTTGAACACAATGTGATAAATTTCTGTTAACCTGACACAACTACATAAACAGATATAATCAGTTTGATGTTTTGATGCAAATGTTTTTTGGGTTTTTTTTTTTGTTTTGTTTTGTTTTGTTTTGTTGTTGTTTTTTTTTTTTTTTTTTCCTTTTTGTTTTTGTTTTTTGTTTTTTCGATGTGAAATAAACATTAACTTCCCTTCATATTTATTTCACCAACACTTCTGTACTATTTTGCTAAGAAATCAAGTCCATAGGTTTTCTGTCCAGGCTACGACTTAGAAGTAGTATTAGATGCTCGCTGCTTGACAGCCAACAATGAATGTTATGAAACAAGATAATATACTGGACCTCATTCAGTGATAATATAAAAAAAAAACAGAAATGACGTGTTATGTAATTTTGACTTCGGAATCACAATTTAGAAAAAAAAAACAGAACACAAATCATGGAGTCATTTCTACATTTGTAACGACTATAAAAAGGATAACAGACAGTTCACCAGGAATTGTCGTTCTTTACACGCACTAACAACAATGTGTAAGTTATATTGGGAGAGTAGACGAAGGTAACCATACTAGGATACCTGAAATCCGCACCGGTAATGAGCTAGTAAGCACTAACTTGAAACTGAATGTCGGCCAAAAAGCATAGGCGCATGTTACAGCATTCAGTGTGTCGGTCTAGAGGCAGAACTGTTAATTTTATCGCGTTGCTTTACAGAACAATCAACACGGATGCAAAACATGTGGAATGACATTGAAAGAGAGAGCAAAGAAAACAGAAAACAAGAATTCCAAGGAAATGGTTATGTCGCCTGCCCAGCTAGGTTTCCGGAGATGGGTTTTATGGAAAATAGCCGTAGATACTCATTGTAACTATTCCAATTAATAATTTGACCATATGTTCGAGATATGATGAGTAAATTTGCGGATTATATTGATAGTTTCGAATGGAACAGAATACCGAGGATAGATTTTCCTTGTTAATACAACTTAATGATTTTCTTTGATTTCTGATTTTTAAGTTAAAGTTCTGAAAATGTTAATTTGCAATAATTTCCATGTACAGTGTATATGTATCAGTATCTGTACTGTTATGATGAGCATTTGCTATACGTGCTAAAACAACTGCAAAGGCAAGAGGTAATGAATATGGATCTTGTTAAAGTTTGGAAAGAGCATACGTTCTACTGAAATGGATAAAATTAATATTATCCCCCCAAAAATTACAGAAAACAACTAAAGAACATGCATTGCATTTAGATCAGAATTATTACAAATAAAACCAAATGAAAACTTTGCACCAAGCTGTTGGCAAGCTTACTAATATTCCAGTGAGTATTCTTTAACTAGGGATATGAATTTACAGGTGAATGTTACTGCATTCATTGTTTTTAACTGCGTGTGGACTCATCTGATGTCTTCTGGCTAACCAGAGTACTAATTCACACTTATATTCTTGAGTCTTTTAAATATTGTCATCAATAACATACCATTTGAAGCAAGACAGCATTTTAGAAAATTCAGTGAAGTAGTAGATTCAAAGTGCAAACTGATAGTATTCAGTGTGTTATTGATCAAAGACATTTTTTTATAATGTTGAGTGGGTTGGTAAATGAAAGATTACTGCATGAAAATCAATGTACTAAATATGGAAGATTGAGCCGTGACTCGTATGTTCATAACTAAATGAAATTTGATATATGTAACTTTTACGATTAGTTATTATTTCCTAATTCCAGACTTACTCTTACTTTTTAAAGTTTAAATATATATTTGTATGCTTATGCGGAGGAGGGCGGAGGTTGTTCGCAAAGTCATATTGTGCCAATAAAATTATGAATAATATGTGCGTAATTGTGTCTACATCAACATATCTTCAGAATGTCAGCTTAGAAACTAAATTATTTCATGAAATAATAAAATACACTTGTCTTCATTTGATATTGTAGGTATTAGGTTGTTTACATTTTCTGGGGAACTGTGTTATCTAAGCAGCTCAGGAAAGATCCTAAGGTTGAAACGGGGTGCGATGTGGTTCATCTCGCAAGGAAGCCCCTACGGTTCTCTCAGGTTCTTGGCATCATTTCAATTGAAATACGATGTTGATAAGTTTACCAAAGGGTTTTAACAAGTGCTATATAGCTTTAATGCTAGATTGGAGGTGGCATGATTTAAGAACATACATAAAATTGTTATGGTCAGGATTGTATTGTCACCTTAACTTCAGGACAATAAATGCACTCCTTATAGTGTGTTGATGTTCTATAAGACATCGGTACATGTGTGAGAAAATGGTTCCGTTGTTGTTTATTTTGTTCTTCTTTGGGAATATATCAATATTTATTTCAAATTTTCGAAGATAAACGCAGCGGTTGTTGACGTGGATGAAGCACAAGACGCTTACCCTTCCGGAACTACTGTGTGATTCCCCATGTGTTCATTATTTCCATATTCTACCTACGTTTAATCGAATTCAAATTTGAATTTAGATGCTGTTGACTTGTTGGTATTGCCTTACAATAAAACAAAATACCACACAATCTCTTTTAGTCAAGAAAGAGTTGTATATCAAAATGTCTCTCAGTCTCCTTTCTTGTTGTTTTGAATGTTTATTTTGTGACATATGAAAACGTGCTTTCTACTGAGAGTAATGAATATTGCGATTTACAGCAGCTACAGAGAACCACAAACAATTGATTTTAAAGTTACCCAAGAGTCAGAGAAGCACATACTTAGGGGATAAATCTTTGTCTCTGGTAAATTATAGCACAAATTATAACAAAGCAACCAAGAACCTGAATTTTAGCAGAACAAGAGGTCAAGAGGGCCTGAATCATTATTGTAAAAAATTAATAATTATATTCAATACATAAACCTCTGTTTCTGATCTAGAATATAAATCAGAGTTGCATATATTAGAAGTTTTTACAACATCCAATCCCATGTTCCTTGGAGACGTCAGCACCGGGATTCCAAGACGCTTCTAGCAGATGACGTACTACCGATTATTTCATGATTGGACCATGAATCATTTTGATATATTAAAGTTTCGAAATGATTTGGATAGTGTGTATTTAAATTTATCAAAGGAAACCATCTTTAACCAGTAAACTAGATAACCGTTAGCATAATTCCCAGAAAACACAACGGCCATTGACAGGTATATACACTTTTCATTTGTGTTTTTGTTTTACCAATACCGGTAGTTAGAATTTCATGATGCAACATGGTTAGAATAATCGGATTTTCTTCAAACACCATGACCATTGGGCCGATAGGGTGCATTGCTTACAGAGATTGTTATACTATGAAGCCCGAAAATGTTCAAATAATCTTAAGTTAATGAAAGTAATGTTACTCTAGTACTTTTTCGGTTAAATAAGACCCTTTTTCAATTGGTCTGATTGATATCGTCGAGAAAAAGACATCTGAAACCCAAAATTCGTTAAGATACGTGATATATTCACATTTAATTGTTACATTAAAAAACAATAATATACACATCACACAATAATCGTTAATGAAGTTCTAATTACCTTATATATTTATACAGCATAACAAAACCGCCCTTGTGTCCAGCACAGTAGAACAGATAAAAAATACTTCCCAAAATGTATACCAAGATCGGAGCATCATTGGTATCACAGAGATATAAAGCTCAACTCTCAGTCACTGAAACTAACATTGTGTCGGACGAGAAAAAGAATCAAAAACGTTCGTACTACATGTATTATACAGTAATTATGATCAAATCTATTAAATTCGTTTTGATCATTAACAGTGTCATAAGGGTTAGTCATTTACTGGTTTCATCACTTAATAAAATCAAATATTATAATGGTTTAGTGCATCACAGACCGCACTTCATCTGTGTAGACTTTTCTAGTCTAACTTACTTTGGGTCATATGCTACCAAGTTCTTGCATCTTGCAAAAAAAGAACGATATACTTTAACAACGTTCGTCCGAAACTGTCGGTCCAGACATCCGTACACAACTGACTTCATTACATTGTTAATCAAGTGCAACCGGAAGCCAATGAGATATAAGACATGTTCCGGTGTCGACATTCCAACAACGTAGGAAGCATTTGATAAGTAAGCAATGAGACACACAATGTGTGGAATACAGCAGACAACGAACAGCAAAGAAAGAGCGAAAGCAACCTTTGTGACCGGAAGTTCCTTTTCATTAACCGTTGTTGCATGACGCACTTTCTCTCTCAGCAACTGCGCTTTGGCAGAGTAGATATAATCAAAAGCATTTTTTTGATCATTTGATATTTCATGCGAACTAGATCCGTTCTTCTGTGTTGCCGAGTTGTCATCGTTAACATTCAACGCTGAAACTTCTTTGCAATTTTTTTTAGATGCTTCCAAACTGTTATCCAAGTTTTCGTCATGATCTGTTTTAACAATAGATACTATTGACATTACATTTTCATTCATTTGTACATTTCGTTTTCGATCATCTGTGTGTTTGGAGACACTTTCTCCTTGATCTAAACGTTTATTTTTACTTCCTGTAATTTCATCGGTATGTTGAACGGGAATCAACGAACTGGAACGAGTATCACAAACGGAATATCTGCGTGTCAGAATAATGTTTCGTCCCAGTGTCGCCAAAATTAGACTGTAGACCACAGCTAATATAAGCATACAACCTATAGTAGTTATAAGAATCCACACGTGATAGAATTGAAAATAAAGCGTATCTTCCATGTTATTTCCCCACGTGCAGTCGTACCCGGTCACGCTAACGTTCATTGTATGGTTACCATTGTAACTGATTTCGGTAATGTTCGTAATCGTTCTACGCCCATACACGTAAATTGCCGGAAATGTGAATACAGTTGCTGCTATGAGAACAACTGATGAAGAAAATATGGCGACCGTTTTAGACATGACAATACCATCTGGTGTTCGAATCTTGCCATATCTTTCAAAAGATATCACAACAAGCATAAACAAGGAGGCCATTGTTACAGCCGTGCTGATGAACCGGAAAATCTTGCATGATATTAATTCCGTATATGCGAAGGGAAATAACTCGTCCACAATCTCAAATGGGATCACCACAAAACAGCAGAAAATATCTATCATCGCCATGAACAAAACGAACACTCGATATGTCGAACTTTTTAAATGACACTTAAAGATAAACCACACATGGATATTACCGACTATTCCAAATATGGCTAAAATTGTCAGAAAGAGAATGACCGGAAGTCTTTTCAGAGCTTCGTCTTTGTTCAACTGGTACATCAGTTGAATCATATCCGCTTCCATGTTTCTGTTAATTGCTACCGTAGAGATTTAACTTCTCACAAAAATGGACACTATTTCCAGCATCGAAGATCTCCGAACGGACAGTCTATCGGACTTACTTCACGATCTATATGTTTAACCACTTACTCGCTGAGAGGTATTATCAGCTCTCTACTGTTAGTTACAAGTCTCCTCAACAATCACCAACATTGCGGATGTTCGTATGCATAACCCCTAAGGAAGTCTCATTTACCGGTAGCCTATTCATAAGCTCCAAAGCTATTGATCGACTCTGCTGTCACTTTTCCTATTGACGTGCCTCGCATGTTCAATAACCGATTACAGTCAAAATGAAGAGGTGCCAAAACTAGATACTCCGGCTGGGTTGACGTGCGTCACAAATCCGTCTGACTTGTTGACGTGGTATACAACACAAAAACCCTAAAAATGTACAAGTGTTTTTATAAATCCAAATGGTAGACTTTGCTTGCTTTTTGCGATGGGTTGCAATACAGAATGTTAGTGTTTAAACTCCGAACAAAGGAATGAACACATTGGTGAAACCAGATATTCGGACGATCTGCGTGGTGTTGTTGCGTTGTGTGCCGTGATGGAGAATGATAAGACAAGTTAGAACAGAGAGCAGCACGTGGCTTTTCTAGTCACGGTAAACTGCTGCTCATAGCATGTAACCTTCCGCCGTGGATGTCGATATATCTTGGCTGATGTGTTATATATATCTACCGCCTGGCATTTTAAAAACCGGGACTGAGTCATTAAGTTGTCAATACAAATATGTTTTATTGCATATCAAGTGATGAAAATCCTATTGAGAAAAGCTCATCAAATAGGCAGCTTACTCCAAAGTAACAATGCAATTTAGGTATAAGATTAATTCAGTTACATTAAGTTGATCATACTTTTAACTTAAACATATCTAACACGACACCTGTCTAGTATATATACCAATTGTACATGGCTTAGTCATCTGAACAATGTAAATAATAATTTCTAACTTTCTGTCTCTGAACGGGTCAATATTTATATTTTTCTTTTCATTATCAAGCCCAAGAGATACCATGTCTAGAACACAATTCAATATGTTTCCTACCTATGTATTTCATGCAATTACTTATACCAGTGTTTGTATAAGATAACAATACCTTTAGTCACTTAATCCAGACATCAACAATAAATATGAAATAAAATATTCTGCACGTATTTTAATTAGACATTTATTAAGTTTTAGACTATTAATTGCCAATTATTTCCTATTTGAGACTTGCTAGACATTTGTTTTTTCTTATTATGACGCAATCACGTTTGAATTGAATTAACAAAATCACTTTATGCATATTTGCTTTACCTGTATCTTGTGCACAGATATCAGACCATAAAACCGTGGCTGTGCCCCAACATTTGTCAAAGTGCAAGTGTTTTATTTGCATCAATCAACGTACGTTACCAATCACAGATTTCCATCACAAACGTTACGGTGACTCAGATGTCTGGCTTGCTTCCAGCGACTCTGAAGATATTGCTGCGAACATTTCCGAACATTAAACATTGTTCTGATATAATCTGCAATTAATAAGAGAGATATAATCTAAATATGATGAAACGACAAATGTACAAAGACGTGCAAAAATAAAGATGTAGTTTGATAAGAGAATCTTTTTACCACACCTGAAAAACAGCTGAAATTGTATGTTTGCTGGGATTACATACTGATGTAATAGAGACATCTGGGTCTGCAGTATTAATTCAAGTTGACTTGAATAGTACGTATATGATATGAATGACATAAATACGTGTTTTAAGCAGCTCTTTTTCATTCCTCAACATCAACCTACAAGTACATCTGTGTAGATATGCTTAGGAGAGAAAACAGCTATGATTAACATCCTATT